AGCTCCCCTCCAGTCTACCGGTTCCACGGAGGTGAGCTGTCCCCCAGACCCTCTACTCCCACCAGCCCGTCAACTCAGAGAGCCCAGACCTCTGTGTCCATGACCCTGTCCCCCTCCCCGAGCTTCAGTCCATCATCCCCAGGTGGTGGCACTGTGTCCCCCTCTGCTGGAGGCTCTGGGATGTATCTGGACCCAGAGCTCATCATCAACAAGTCACCCAGTGAGCTGCCACAGGGAGTGGACCCCGGTCAGAGAGAGGTGGGTAAAGAATTATGGATGTTGCAAAAGCGTGGAAGTCATTATTGTGGTTCATTCAGTAAAACAGCTTCAAGGCATACAAAGGCTATTCGGTAAAATTTTACTGAAATACAGTACAGCACAAACACAAGATTAGTTAAGCTGTTCACTCAGTTTGTTTAGAAATAGACACAAAACAACTACAAGGAAACACAAAATGACTACAAAGTGACACAAAATGACTACAAAGAGACACAAAAAAACTCCAAGAGACAAAAAAAATGAATACAAAATGTCACAAAATGAGTGCTTGGAGACAAAAAATGAAACCAAGTAGACACAAAACAACTACAAGGAGACACAAAATAACTACAAAGAGACACAAAATTAGTACAAAAAGTCACAAAATAACTACAAAGAGACACAAATTGACAAGAAAGTTGCACAGTGACTACAAAAATAGGAAACACAAAGCAACTACATTGACACTAAATGGCTACAAAGAAACACTGTCTCTTTTCAGCCTGCCCACCTGTAAGGACGGCCCGTTTACAAGTCTGTGCCAAGGACCCCGTTGTCTCAAAATCCCTCTATGGTTGTAAATGTGATTCACTGACGATGTTGTGATTCAGTTATAATTAGTGAGTGTTTCCTGATGTATTAACAGAGAGAGTACAGTAGAGGTCAGTTCATTTCACCTGCTTATTGTTTTGTTATATTTCTGACTGTTTTCCACCATAAACCCAGTTAAAGTGATTACAGATGTTAGAATTAGCTTATTGATATGATTCTGAATAAATACTAAATCAAGACACAATTTACACTTAAATTAAGATTATTTGCAATTGTTGTGCTTTATATTTATCCATATTTTTCAATGTTCCATGATCTGATCTTCCTCAGGATATTATTGTTATTGGTTGAATCACTTCATGATGAATAAACACACAAAAGCTTGAATGAGGGACTCTGCTGGTTTTATTTGAGAGCTAGTGCAAATTCATACAAGAGACAAGACAAGTACGATAGAAAATATTAGTTTGACATGAAATACTCGATAAGATGAATTACTGCTCAATATGTTAAAAGCAGATTTGTGTATGATACAGTTCATTTCTTGATATGCTCATAATGTTATAGTCAAACATATTTTTTAAGACTTTTAAATAATTAAAACATTGACAAACATTGTGGAGCAAGGCAAGGCAAGTTTATTTGTCGAGCACATTTCAACAACAAGGCAATTCGAAGTGCTTCACATAAAACCATTAAAAGCATCAGACACGCACGTGTCTCTCTCAATGGGCAAAACATTTGCGTTTTGATATCATACTGTTTATTCTGTTGCTCCAGTGACCAACATCATAACCCCACTAAACTTAAATCAAGGCAGAGTCACTAAAACAGTTCAGTACTCGTTGTGTTTCTTGACAAATACATTGTTTCCATGAGCATGATTTGTATTATCCTGAAGGGATATAAAGCCATGAGAAATCTATAAGAAATAAAATACTATTCAGAAAAACTGAATTATATACACCTTACTCCTCTAGTTATTGTACCCCCCCCTCCCCCAATATGGCAAATACAGTTGAATGACTTTCTTTAAATACTTTCCCACACTGCACTTTCATTCACTTCTTCATTCACTCTGAACTCTCAACCATACTTCTTTTTTAAAAAAGCTAAAATTACACAATGACCGGAAAGTGTTACGCATAAAACGGTGAGTCAGGACCTGCGGCTTGGCAGATGACAAACTTAAACTTAAATTATATTTAGCATTAAAACTGGACAAATTCCTTCAAAGAGTTCCTTAAAACAAATGCTGTTGCTGACATGAAGGTTTATCCAAACGCGATCCTACTGGGCGTCTATGAGCATGAGATGCACAAAGAGTCCGGCCGAGCAGATGACGTCACCTCTCTTGGTGAGCAGCGGGACGTGGCGATACCCTGGAAAAAAGGAAGTGAGTTTTAGCTTCGTCAGCAAATCAGTGTAAGAAACACTTCATACATTATATGATGCACAAAAAACAGTCATATGATTTACATCTTGCTATTGTTTATCAAATTGTTTTGATTGTTCAAACTCTGTTTAAGCTGGACTCTCTTACCGTTCTGTACGCTGGTGAGCGGTAGACAGTACTGCCCGATGAGATCATTGTGGGACATTGAGTCATAGTCCTCCACCACAAACCGCACCATGGCCAGCTCTGGGACGTGGATGTCAAACGTGAACTTCTCATTCCACATCGGGTTGAACCCTGCAGGGAGGGATTATTTTTCAGCTTGTGACATTTGCTCAGAGGGAAAACTGAACAATGCAGTGTGTGTCCATATCTGTGTATGTGTATGTGGGTTACTCTCACCATTGTTATCGATGTAGTGTGTCTCCTTGCTGGCGTTGTCCGCCGGGACGCCGTAGATCTCTACTCTCACCAGAGGGTCAACGATGGAATTTTGTTTGTCCTTGTAGATTTTAGGTAACTGCTGAGCTGAGATCACCTTTTGTATCGAGAAACAAAAGACAAAAATGGTGTGAAAATGGTCGACAAACTGCTTTGGTTCACGTATGTATCATAACAACGGCTTGTATATCCGCTGTCTAGGTCTTCCTGTTTCCCTTTTCGAATGGCGAATGCAGACCACCGTTACCTGCTAGTACAGAGAGTTCTTTCCTCTCGCGCAGCCACAGAATGGACACGCTAGATAGTTGTTGTCTGTGATCTTTGCAGTGTGGTCAAATGCAACACAGGCGACGTGAGGCAACACAACAGTCGGCCTTTATTGCTGCTAGTTCTTTGATGTCCCTTTGGTGTGACCTCTTTAGGGTTAAACTGCAAAAAACTCTCACCATCACGTTAAAGGTCTTCTTCTTCAGCCAGGGCCCTTTGGAAAGTGTGCCGGGGTCAAATTGAGAGGACAGGCTTCTCTGAAATTCTGGTTTCAGGATGTAGCCACAAGCACCGTTTGGCAAAAACCGACCCTGGTTTATGTGCATCTCCTTGGAGGGAGTCTGGAAGTTCAACGCCACTAAAAACCAAATCAGAGAGAGAAAGGAGTGAAACCTTAACTATTAACTGTAACACTTAATATGCTAATGAGTGGATCTCTGCATATAGTAAAGGGAGCGTACCTATCTGGCAGCCAACGTTCCACATGGGCACTGGGTTA